TTCAACAAAATTAGAGATAAGGGCAAAATAGTTTCTGCTGGGTATTGAGGGGGTGGGGGGAGAGAGGGAGGGGGCGGAGTGGGTGGTAAGGGAGGGGGTGGGGGCAGGGGGGAAAATGACCCAAGCATTGTATGCACATATGAATAATAAAACAATTTAAAAAAAAGGCTAATATTAAAAATTAGTTACTATTTATTACTAAATAGTCACATCATATAAGGTATGAAAGCATGTGTACATAGAACCAAATACACATATATGTGTGTGTATATATATATATATATGTATGTATATTACAAAGCACATTTTTAAAGGTGAAGAAGAGGAAAGATGCATAAATCTGTATTGCTTACAGGAAAAAGAAGACAAAAGAGAAATAAAGATAGCTTATTCAAATGTAAAATTATCCCTAATACTTTAAAAATAATCAAGAAAAGGTCAGATGTGGTAGTGAATGCCTGCAATCCTAGCTACTTGGGAGCCAGAGATAGAAGGACTACAGTTCAAGGCCAGCCTGGGCAAATAGAAAAAAAAATTAGCAAGCCCCTGTCTCAAAAAACAGTCTGGGTATGGTAGTGCACATCTGTAATCTCAGCTATTTGGGAGGTGGAGGTAGGAGAATTGCAGTCTGAGTCAACCAAGGCAAAGCCTGAGATCTTATCTGAAAAATAACTAAAGCAAAAAGGGCGGGAAGTGTGTGGCTCGAGTAGTACAATACTTGCCTAGCAAGCACAAGACCCAGAGTTCAAAACCACAGTAATCACCCCTCAAAAAAAAAAATCAAGAAAAATACTATTAATCATTTGTATCTTAATTAAAACTAATACTACCATAGGTTTAACTGGATGAAAATTCAAGAAAAATATGAAAACTGTGTCTTAACAATTCAGATTTTTAAATTAAAACTGCTATATAATCATGGGTCAACTTCTAACTTTGCATTATGGAAGTTCAGAGAAAAGTAAATGCCTACATGGTACCTATAGCCTCTATCACTACATCTATACTCATTCACCCATCACAGTCCTAGCTTTACTGCCAGCTCTTAAGACCAAAACAAGCTGCTTCTCCCAAAACAAAAAAGAACACTGACACCCTATGTGTTAGTCAGTCTTTGTATCACTGTTTCAAAATACCTGACACAAACAACTTAACAGAGGAAAGATTTATTTCAGCTCAGGGTTTTAGTCCATCAGGGTGGGGAGGACGTGGCAGAGTAGCTCACATCATGGTAGACAGGAAGCAGAGTGAAGAAGCAACAAGAAGGAGCCAGGGCAAGATCTAGGTCCCAAGGACACACCCAGTGATCTATTTCCTCCAACCATACCCCATCTTCCACAGTTCCACCATCTGCCAATAGTCTATTGAAACCATCAATGGATTGAACCATTGACTAGCTCAGAGCCCTCATGGTCTAATTGTCTATAGCGGTGCCATCACAGAACACCCAGAGGTGTTCTTCAAAAATCTCTCTCAGTTCTATCACATTGGCAATCAAGATTAATCATCACATCCTGCTTCCCAGTCTTAAGTAAGCACTCAGTAAGACTCAGTAAGACAACAACCATCACACCATCACTTAGCTAGCAGTCACCGTATGCTAGGCAATGTCCCATTCATTCCCCACAGCAATGTGATCAGTCACATGGGAGAAGTCAAGGAAGACAGAATAGGTAGTCAGGACAACACCAGCCAGGAGCCACATAGCTGGGACACGCAGAAGTAGTGAAGGAAGAGAATAATTCTGCAGTCTGGCAAAGACTCTTGCACCAGCCAGCTGAGGAACAAAAGCACCACCCAAGTGCAGCACTTCACCCTAATGTCAAGGAGGCCATCAGGGCAGGAAACAGTGAAGCCACTACAATGAGATTTGTGTAAGTGGCAGGAGAGAAGCAGATCTGTTAAAGAAACCAAATACTTCTGTGCTTCCAAGTAGTCCCAAACAATGAAAGGCAAAGTATGTAAAAAGTTGTTAATGAAAAGAGAAAATGCCAAATAATGAGTATAGGAAAATGGAAAATGGCTGGTACCCACTGAGCAGGTCACGCTGTATGAGAGTAAGCTCACACTAAAGCAGCTGTTCAAATAGTTAGGCAGATTCTGAGTCAATGAAGAAGCAAGGCAAGTAGCAAGGGATGCACCGGCCTAACGTGGAGCCCCCAGACAACATCTGGTGTGAGTTGATAAAAGGATCTCAAGGGACCCTTTCACTTGCTAAACATCACTGACAAGAAACAGTCACTAGAGTGAGAAGGCTTCGTTAACTAAATTCCTGCATAAATTCAACATTGTAGAGAAACTTTTATAACATGAACATCTTTCCTACAAATAGTGCCAAGACCCAAGTTTGAAAGAAAAGAACACTAACAAATATTCCTGATTACACAAGGGATGGATCAGAACCATGCTTGTGGGAGCAAGAGAAAAAAGGGAGAAATATAACCAAAGGCTCTTGAGCATGAATGCAAAGAAAACTGTTCCAAGATAAGGAGATGAAAAAGAACTTGAACACGGATTTAAATAATCAGATCCCAACAAGCTTTCAGTACTGTTTAAATTATAAACTATCAGTATAGTCTCTAAAATACATCTTCATATGCACATATATAAGGGCCTAAAGAATTAAAGTTAATAGTCTTCAGATTTAAGGAGCCACTCATAAAGGGAAAAAGTGATTGAAAAATTCATATACAGAACACAACCAAAAAAGAAAAGAAAATGGCTATACCATCCCTGTGTCCAGTAAAGTATTCCTCAGCAGAAAATCTCCTGAAAGTTTTGCTGGGGGCTGACTTCCAGCAGAGAGGTGAACCAGTATGAGAAATACTGGGGTGCTGCTGAGATCACAAATCAGACCTGGGCTTGAAATCTGATGGGCAAGGTAAAATCTACCTCTGCAGAAGGATGTGCCTCTGACCAGAGTCAGGCAAGCAAGCACACTTGGCAGAACCACCTCAGTTTTTATCCCTAACACCCCTTGCTCTAAGGGAGGGAGCTTGGTTTCATGTCTTCACAACTGACTAAGGCTGAGGTTTAGGGGAAGGCATAGAGGAAGAACAGAGCATGGACACAAAACTTTAATTTGGTTGGTGTACTCAAAGACAAAGGGGTGACCCATGAGGTGGGAATTCTAGGATTCTGGGGAAATTGAGGCCTGAAACGACTGTTTGACCTGAAATGGCAGCACCAAGTATATAATTAACCCATGGGCCAAGAGGACCTTCAAGCAGAAATTCCTTTGCACAATGATTATCTTAAAGCTAGCAGTTTGCATTTTAGGATATCCAATGATAAGTAATTCTCTGTTTAAAAGCAGAAACTTTACAGTTAGGCAATGTGCCACAGAGCACACAGGCAACTGGGGAAATTAGCTAATATCAACACAATGATAGACATATTCCACAGTGTGATATCAGGTGGGGGATGGGAGAGAGGGTTTGAACTCATGACCCTGAGATTAAGAGTCTCATGCTCTACCGACTGAGCTAACCCTTTGACAGAAAAGACCCAATTTAGTTAGCTCTCACACCAGGGAACAGAGATGTTAAAAGTTTCAAACTGATTCAACCACCTTCTTTCACATGTATGATTAACCCATTTCATTTTCCTACAAATCCTCATGCCTCTGAGCAAGCACATAAAGAGATGCAAAGGAGAGGTGGAACCCTCCACAGATCAGGGCATGCTCTGGTTTTGGAATGGGACATTGGGCTCACAGGTCAGGAATTTACAGGAAGCCCTCTCAGGTCCATGTTTTCTTGTACTGCAGCCTGCAGTCCCTGTCTATGCATAGGGACACTCTGAGGACTGGGCTAGGACTGTGTAAGTAAAGCTCTTGACACAGTACCTAGCCAAACTAAGCACATGAAAACACACTATTATTTCAAGGCTGATGCAACACTTCTGTACTAATCAACTGTTAGTTAAGATCAAAATTTAGCAACTTCATTTATTAGTAACACACAAAGAGGGAAATTATATTTTTGTTTTTCACCTAAGAGCTCTTTAATAATGCTAATATGCCTTAAGCTTCAAGTACACCAGCTATTCTCATTATGAACAAGGACTTTCACCTGGGTTTGCCCATGTCCCCTGAATAGAAGGTAACTGACTAACATTCTGGGTTCCTGGAGGTCTCTTCCTCAGCAATGGTGCAGTGAAAGGCACACGAACACAATGTGCCTCAGCCGATGGCATTCTGCCTCATCCACACTGGCCCCCAAGCAGACAGCAGAGATGGGATCATCAGAGGCTTTATTTTTAAAAGATGAGGAAGGTACCATACCTCTAATCGCTGGATCCGTCCCTTGAAAAACATAAAGAGGGAAGAATTTGGATAAGCAGCTTCTTTTTTGAGAAGAATTTCCTTAGCTTCATCCAGGCCTGCTTTGTTATCACTGCCATCCAAGGCAAAGAACGGGCGGACTACAGTATGATACCAGAGTAGAGCTAATCTGCGGGAGAGAGAGACACTGAGCCAAAGAGTTCTCTGAGATTGTTGTTATTTTCCAAAACAAAAAAATCAGAATCTGCTCTTCTAATTCACATTCTTTTCAAAAAACTTAATATACAGTCTTCAAAGAAGTACAATCAGAGAGTGTTTTCCTCCTTTAATTTTGTCAGTGTTTAGAAAACTGCCAGTTGAGCACAAGGTATAAATCACATACTCTCTACCATGAGAGAAGAGAACAGAGTGACAGAAACATACAGCCTTTCTGAAGCTTCTAGATGGACTGCTCAAGACATGCGTGATGTAAATCTCTGAATTCTGTACCTCAGTCATCAATGCACAGATCAGGAACAGTGAGCATGCACCATGAACTAATTGTTCCCTCAGAATAAAAGCTTTTACTTTTTGAAAGGAAAATGTACCTTTCTTTTGCATTCATAAAAGTTAGGGGGTAAGTTTAAAAAGCCAAACTTACAGAATCCACAGTTACAAATTATATTAAATTGAGATAAAGTAAATGAGAACAGACAAGGATCCTTTCTCCAGCCTTAGAAAATGCCCAACTCAAAATAAATAAAGAACTTAAAATTCCCTTACTTCAAACTCATTAAAGAAAAATGTCATGTTAAACTTAGGTAAACAGAACAGAGTCATTGAGATCTGCTTTAATGAACAGATAAAAATGTTTAGCCAGCACATCAAGTATCTTATGTAAATGTAAACTTCTAGTGTGCTCATAAATTTAAGACTCTGATGGAGATCATACTAACTTACAATATTAATTCCATTCATTCCTTTGTCAGAGAGGCACAACATAACGTTAAGATATAAACAGAGAAAATGATCACTAGTTACAAGCCTACTGATACTAGTTAAAAAAGAACCACTGCTGGTATAATTTAATGAGTTTGGGTAGGTACACAGTGTTTTCAAATGAAAAATTAATGATTTTATATAACTATTACCTAATTAAGAGTTAATATCCAAACTCCTCAGTCCTGAGATGTACAGAAGTACATCTCACTACAGCCTTTGTAAAAGCAACATATTTTTGGAGATTTCTAACAAGTAGTGTCATATCAAAGAAACAGCTCTAATGGCAAATGGCAGATATTTTCCAGATTAAGTAGCAGACCACATCTCTTTGAACTGATGTGGAAACAGCTAAGTCCTGGCTCTGGAGTGTTACTCCAGCTTCCCTGCGCTCTCCTATTTAAGTAATTGTCATTAAGGTTTACACTGAGCCGCACCACACAGCGGACTAGCATGAGATAGACAAGCCACACGCAACCAGCCAACTGACCAATGAGAATCAGCAAGAAAAATTATTCAACCCAGGGATTCTTTGTAAGAACAAAAATCAGAACCACAGAAAAAGCCTTTCAAATTCATATCTTATAAGTCTAAAAATCCAGATGGTGCATCTTGGTGACTGTGATCACAATCACAAAAACTGCTTATAAAATCACTGGAGGATAAAAGATAAGGTCACCTTACCTCATTAAAATACAGAATTAATGAAACTTAAGTAACAGTGCCTTCTCTTTGACTGAGGTCAGCTTACAACTACCTCCACCAGAACAGAACACAGTCCTTGGTGTTGCAATAAAGGCACATCATTGTGTCAAGCAACCAGGAATTATTCCTGAAATTCTCTTTAAAATCTGATTGTTGTTTCCTTACTTCAACACTATATTATCTACCAAAGCATTGCAATATAGCTACTCACGTAGCTAAAGGGGCCTTCATGTCCTTACTTTCGCTCGCATACGTCAGTGAAGAAAGCCCCTGTAGGCGGTCTCCAGGAAACCCCAGCAGGTTGATGATTTTGAGCAGGTTTGGGGGCACCATGGATATGCAAAGGTGAAAAAGGCCATATCCAAAGCTAACAGCACCTTTCAGTCTGTTTAGGGACTCCTCAGTCACCCCTTCAGCCACCATGTGATTATCATTTGCAGCATCAGAAGGCTCTTCAGTTAGCTTCTTTTGATACAGCTCCTGAAGGGCATTGATGTCCACATAGCACTTATTGTAAATCTTCCAGGCTTTCCTAAGGATCCACCCACCTTTTATGTATGCTAGGAAGAGAAGGGGAGAGTAGCAGTCAAAAACAGGCATTCAAAATAATTTGTGTATTTGAATAATAAAAGATATCAGAAAACAACCTGAAAAACAAGCAAAACATTTAAGACATCAAAACTATTTCCTATCACCGCACCTTGTTTTCCTCACAGTATTTAAATTTCTTATTTGTTGTTGCTGTTCTTCTCTACACCGTATGACCACTTGGCAAGAACCATGTGAGGTTTTGTTGTTGTTGTCATGTTATTACTCGTTGTTGGTTGTATCAATCCCCACAGGCAGTAGCTAGTATATAATATTTCAAGGAAGGAAGGAAAGAAAGAAGGAAGAACAGGAAGGAAGGGATGGGTAACTTGAATCCAATTTTTTTTCAGGTCTTCTGTGAAAGCCTGTACTGCTGCTCTGAACTACTATGGCCCTTCCTCATAAAAATTTTTTATAAATCTAACATTTGTGTACCCTCTATTTTCAGTCCTCCAGAGAAAATTCTTAGTCTAATTCAGCACTGAATTTATACCTAAGCACCAATCAAGGAAACCTGCAAGAAAAGAATATAAGCAAACAAGTCAAGTACCAGTGGCTCATACGTGGGAGGCTGAAATTGGGAGGATTGCAGTTCAAAGCCAGCCCAGGCAAAAATGTCTGAGACACTGCCCTCCATTCCCCACCATCTCAACAGAAAAAAAAAAGGGGGGTTGGGTTGGGCATGGTAGCATATACATGTCACATCAGCAATGGGAGGAAACATAAATAGGAGGTTTGTGGTCAGAGCATAAAGTATGACCCTATCTCAAAAATAACCAAAGTGAAAAGGGACAGGGGCATAGCTCAAGTGGTAGAGCACCTGCCTAGCAAGTATAAGGCCCTGAATTCAAACTCCAGTGCTGCCAAAAATTAAACTAAAAAAAAGAATACAAGCAAAAAGGATTAATTCACATTTATTGGGCAACAACAGCCAGTTTATTATAAAAAAATCATTCACATAAAATGCAAAGACTCCCAAATGCTCCTGTACCTGTTGCCTAATGGGTACCATCACCGTGCTTGAATGGAATGGCTTTGGTCTGTGACCATGGTGTTCAAGCAGTGACCTGGCCTAAAGAGATCCACAGTGGAGAAGGGACAAAGAAAAAGTTAACTCCACACCAGAGAGCAAAAATCTGTTACTTCCTTAAACTGCTGCCATTGTTTCCCAGTAGGACCCCAAAGAAGACTTCAAAGACAAGAGGCAGACAGAATTTAGAACCCACAGGCACCTCTCCAGGCCCCCAAATGCTGTCTTCCTTCCCTCTCAAACATTTTCACCTTCACCTGGGGTGGGGGGTTATCAATTTCTCTCTTTTTATCTATGTGTGTCATCATATATTTTGGGGGAAAGGTTTTCCGTAGGCAAATAAAGTGTCCTCAACACTACAGAAGAGAGCTCATTCTCTTGGCCCTGTTACCAACATAACAACACGACTTTGACCTTCACAAAAACAGCAACCATCCCAGACTTCCAGTTCCTCTAGAACAGCAGGAAAATAAGGTTTAAAAGTATTTTTTTTAATTGCAGAAAATCTATGATAAAAAATAAAATATGATTTACAAAACTCCAACCCCTAAATTGAAAGCAATCTAAGAATATATGGTATGTGCAGAAGAGAGCCCATTTAGCAGACCTGCTTACAAGGTGGACCCCTAGCAGGACAGGGAACTTGGACTGGACAGGAACCATCCCCAGAACTGGTAAGTGTGGCTCACCAAGTATGCCTACTTTATAATCAGTGTGGTTCATACTGAATGCCTGTGCTCCTGCGGGAGTCTTAGAATCTGAGTTGATATCCATAACATCAGCCCCCCAGTAACAACTCCAGACACCAGGTCTCTAACGAGATTCCCTACTTGGTATCATTTTATTCACGTTATCATTACTTGTTGCTGGGGAGATGAAGCATGTCCTGTGTGACTCCCACAGGAGAGGAGACCCTTGGAAGCCTGTGCTTGGCCTCCCCTAGATTCCACTCCATTCAGCTTTCTCCCCTTGCAGATTTTGCTTTGCATTCTTTTGCTGAAAGAAATCACAGCCGTGTATGCTGAGTCCTGTGACCCCCCTCCTACAGAATCATCAAACCAGGAGAAAGGTAGACTTTTACTTAGGCCTATTAATCTTCTAACAAAGGATGACCATATTGCCTATGGAAATGCAATTAATAAATCATCCTCCAAGTTCTGGGTGATTCATAATCTAGAATCTATATTCATTGAAAAGAATGCTATGAGGTTAAATGAACAAATAAAACAAATTAGTTCATAAAAGTTGGATTAGAAGGGAACTATTTTTATAACTTTATAAGCACAAAAATAATACATGTTTGAAATGTTCTATTCATTTGGTTCAACTTAACAGGAGTATTTACTGCATAAATAGTAAATTTTAGGCACTGATCAAGGTAAGTCAAGGATTAATATGACACAGATCTTTCCTTTAAGAGACTCAATGACTTTTTTTCCCTCCTAAATGGAATTTAGTGTGGGAAAACAAAGGTTTGAGAAAACCTGAAACTTCTGCATATGACAACAAAGTTCATTTTCAAGTGTTTTGACTGATCAAGCATGACTACAACCAAGAAAGGTGGCTCTGAGTTATGACCCGAAAAGCTGGAGATTTAATAGAAAAGGAGAAAAAGAAAAGTGATAGGAAACTAGAACACATATTCTTGAGAACATAAAAGCAATGGGGAATATAACTGAAAACAAATATATTGGATAGAGATTTCAAAATGAAAAAGAAAACTGGCAAAACCCCAAACATGTAAACCAGTTATTGATGACATTCCTATTATGTTCCAGGCTGTGGTGCCATCTGAGGGACAAAAAAGAACTATAACATAATTCCAGTCCTCCAAATGCCCACAATAAAATTAGAAGAAAAAACATACATTAAAAAATGAAGTAATATACTATTATATATATATATA